GGGGTGGAGCCCTCGTGGGGACAGTGTGGTCTCAGGACCTACGGGGTCACAAAAAGACCGGGGATATTGGACTGTGGCAGATCTCTCAGGTTTTGTATCGGGGAAGCCGACTACAGAGACGGAGCCAAGGAGGGGGCTCTCAGCTCGGGGTTACCATAAACCATGATCCACAGCACAGTCGGGCCACTGCTCTTTGAGCTGGGACCCCACAAGTGGCAGATCCGGGGAGACACCCCTTCCTCCTCTGGAGGCAGGAATCTGCTGGGTTTGGAGACTCCAGATGGGGCTGTGTGCCAGAGACAGAAATGCTCAGGCTGGGTGAGCGTGGAGTGCGGCCGGAGACCAGGGAGAGGGGAGGGATTGACTGCCCTTCTCCAAGGGCGCACTGAGTGGGGCCCCAAACTTTAGGCTCTTTTGGCTGGAGGTTGGGAGGCCGCCATTTTCATTCCTGTCCTCCAGAGCTCTACGGAAAGCATTTAGGGAACAAAAGCTCCCAAGAGCAAAACCGCACAGATTACTTAGCCCAGCCCCTGGCAAGGGCAGCGCAATTCTGCCTGGGGCAAAGACACTTGAGAATCACTGCAACAGACCCCTCCCCAAGATCAGCAAGAACATCCAGCCAAGACCAAGTTCACAGATCAACAAGAACTGTGGAACTCCAGAGTAGGGGAAAGCAACACATAGAATTCATGGCCTTTTTCCCATGATCCTTTAGTCTTTCAAAGTTAAATTTTATTTTTTTATTCTATTTTTAAAATTTTTCCTCTTTCCTATTTTAACCTTCTTAAACTATTTTATCTTATCAATACTTTTTAAAAAAATCTTTTAAAATTTTCATTGTTATAGTCACATTCTGTCCCTTTATTGTATTTAACCTTATTTTTTGTATACATATAGGTTTTTCTTTCTTTAAAATTTTGGGATACAGTTTCTTCTAATAGATCAAAATATACCCCAAATCTAGCACATGACTTTGTTCTAATCTCCAGCCCTATCACATTCTTTCCTCTTTTTTTTATAACCAACTTATCAATTCCTTCTTTAGAAACTTTTAAAATTTAAAATTAAAATTTTCATCTAAAATTTAACATTTAAAATTTTCATCTTTACAGTCATATTCCATCCCTTCATTGTGTTCACCCTTATTTTTGTATATATATATATTTTTCTTTCTTTAAAATTTTGAGAGGCAGGTTCTTCTACCAGACCAGCATTCACCCCAAATCAAGTGTGTGGCTCTGTTCTATTCACCAGTTGTATGTATGTGTGTATACACACACACACACACACACACACACATACACACACACATATAAAATATATATGTATGTGTATATATACATATATTATATAATATACATATATTATATAATATATTATATAATAATATAATACACACATATAAAATATATATGTATGTATATATATACATACATACATATATGTATGTATGTATAGTATATATATATAAATGTGTATATATATTTCTTTTTTTCCCCTACCTTTCTTCTCCCCTGGTTTCAGGTCTCTTCCAATTTGTTTAGTGTATACTTTTCTAGGGTCTTTGCTACCCTTTTAGTATTCTGTTCTCTCATTCATCTGTTCTTATCTGGATAAAATGACAAGGTGGAAAAACTCACCACAAAAAAAAGAATAAGAAGCAGTACCAATGGCTAGGGACATAATTAATACGGACATTAGTAAGATGTCAGAACTAGAGTTCAGCATGATGATTATCAAGGTGCTAGCTGGGCTTGAAGAAAAATTGAAGATACTAGAGAATTCCTTTCTGGAGAAATAAAATCCCTTTCTGGGGAAATAAAAGAACTAAAATCTAATCAAGTTGAAATTTAAAAAGCTATTAATGATGTGCAGAAAAAAATGGAGGAGTTAGTAATATAGAAGACCAAATGACGGGGAATAAAGAAGCTGAAAAAAAGAAAGACAAACAACTACTGGACCACGAGGGGGGAATTCAAGAGAGAAGTGATACCATAAGATGAAACAATACTAGAATAATCAGGATCCCAGAAGAAGAAGAAAAGAGAGGGGCAGAAGGTATATTGGAACAAATTATAGCAGAGAATTTCCCTAATTTGGGGAAGGGAACAAGCATCAAAATCCAGAGGGCACAGAGAACCCCCTCAAAATCAATAAAAATAGGTCCACACCCCGTCATCTAATAGTAAAACTTACAAGTCTCAGTGACAAAGAGAAAATCCTGAAAGCAGCCCGGGACAAGAAGTCTGTAACATACAATGGTAAAAATATGAGATTGGCAGCAGACTTATCCACAGAGACCTGGCAGGCCAGAAAGGACTGGCATGATCTATTCACAGCACTAAATGAGAAAAATATGTAGCAAAGAATACCATATCCAGCTAGGCTTTCATTGAAAATAGAAGGAGAGATTAAAAAGCTTCCAGTAAACAAAAGATAAAAAGAGATTAAAAAAAAAAGAAAGATAAAAAAGATAAAAAGCTTCCAGATAAACAAAAACTAAAAGAATTTGCAAACACCAAATGAGCCCTACAGGAAATATTGAAAGGGGTCCTCTAAGCGAAGAGAGAGCCTAAAAGTAACAAACCAGAAAGGAGCAGAGACAATATACAGTAACAGTCACCTTATAGGCAATACAATGGCACTAAATTCATATCTTCCAGTAGTTACCTTGAATGTAAATGGGCTAAATGTTCCAATCAAAAGACATAGGGTATCAGAATGGATTAAAAAAAAAAGACCCATCAATATGCTGTCTGCAAGAAACTCATTTTAGACCCAAAGACACCTCCAGATTGAAAGTGAGGGGGTGGAAAACAATTTACCATGCTAATGGACATCCAAAGATAGCTGGGGTGGCAATCCTTCTATCAGTTAAATTAGATTTTAAGCCAAACCAAAAAAAAAAAAAAAAAAAGGAAGATATAAAATAGACCTAAATGGGATCTCTAGAGATGAAGAATATAGGCTCCAAAACAGAAAATGCATCAGATAGGATTCCAGCAGACTAGACACTGAGTAAGGAAAAATTTGTGAATATGAACACACACAATGGACATTATCTAAAAGGAAGCACACCAAAGGAAAATAGTGGGAAAAACATCCAGCTTCAATGACTTGGGGGTCAACAGCAAGTGGTCTAATGCATTAGAGATCCAGGGGATGTGAAGGCACAAAAGATGTTTGGAGGGGAAAAAAAGATATTTGGAGAAATATTTTAGTTACATTATTAAATTAATAATAATTATTAAATTATCAAATTTGATGAAAACTTTAAGTCCACAGATTCAAGAAGTTCGTTGAATTCCAAGCAGAATACACAACCAAACCACCCCAAGGCTCAGTCAAATCAAATTGTGAAAAATCCCTTGGTGAAAAGAGAATCTTAGAGTAAAGAAAAAAAAAATGTGTAGTAAATACAAAGAAGGGATAGAAGAACTCACATACTTACCAGAAACTACATGCCAGGAGGTAATGAACAACATTAAAAAACATTGCAAGAGCGGTGCCTGGGTGGCTCAGTTGGTTAAGCATCTGAGTCTGGATTTGGCTCAAGTTATGATCTCAGGGTCCTGGGATTGAGCCCTGCATCAGGCTCCTCGCTCAGCACAGAGTCTGCTCAAGATGATCTCTCTCTCCCGCTGCCTCTCCCCCCACTTGCACGTTCTTTAAAACTTTTTCTTTAAAATAAATGAATATAATCTTAAAAAAAAAAAAAAACCCTGTGAGAATAACAAATAGGAAGCCTATCTGTCCAAGATTCTCTTACTAGAAAAAAAATTTTTGGAAATGAAGGCAAAATACCTTCACCGATCAGCCCAGGTGGAGATTCTGGGAGCCTCTCAAACTTTTCCTAAGGATGTATGCATTGCCACTTCTCTTGCTTGCTCCTGGGGGACAGGTCCCAGGGCCATGCACCTTCTCTGTTCATTGCTGACCATCAGGGAAATGCAAATCAGAACCACAAAAAGCTATCTTCTCACAACTGCTGGGATGGCTATAACAACAACACTACTACCAATAAAACAAAAGACAAAGAAATAAGTGTTGGTGGGATGTAGAGAAATTGCACCATTACACAATGTCAGTGGGATTATAAAATGGTGCAGCCACTATAGAAAATGGTATGGAAGTTCCTCAAAATATTAAAAACAGAACTCCTCCATGATCCAGGATTCACACTTCTGGGTATATATTCAAAAGAATTGAAATTAGGATCTTAAGGGGTGCCTGGGTGGTTCAGTGGGTTAAACCTCTGCCTTCTGCTCAGGTCATGATCTCAGGATCCTGGGATCAAGCCCCACATCAGGCTTTCTGAGCCTGCTTCCTCCTCTCTCCCTGCCTGCCTACTTGTGATCTCTCTCAATCTGTGTCAAATAAATAAATAAAACTTAAAAAAAAAAAAAGAAATTAGGATCTTAAAAAGATACACGTACTTCCAAGGTCATCCCAACATTATTTGCGGTGGCCAAGATATGGAAACCACCTAAATGTCTATAGATGGATGAATGGATAAAGAAGATCTACTTTAAACATACATATAAGGGAATATAATCCAACCTTAAGTGATGGCAAAACAAAGATTTTTTTCAGACAAACACTGTCAATTGATCGCTAGCAGATCTGCAAAACAAGAAATGTTTAAGGAAGTTCATCAAAACAAGAGAAAGAAGGAAATAAAGGTAGTAAGGAACAGGGTCTCTCAAGTTTTTAACCAAAAAGACAAAATAATAATAATAATAATAATAATAATAATAGTAATGGTTTGTTATTACTATCAACAGTAGTTCGCTATTGCTGGTAAGAAATTAACCACAAGGGGTGCCTGGGTGGCTCAGTGGGCTAAGCCTCTGCCTTCAGCTCAGGTCATGATCCCAGGGTCCTGGGATCGAGCCCCGCATCGGGCTCCCTGTTCAGAAGTGAGCCTGCTTCCCCCCTCTCTCTCTGCCTGCCTTTCTGCCTACTTGTGATTTCTGTCAAATAAATAAATAAAAACCTTTAAAAATAAAAAAGAAAAAGAAATTAACCACAAATGTGGAGGTTTAAAAGAATATCCATTTATTTTCTCACTCTTGCTGTGGGTCCACAGTCTGGACATGGTGCAGCAACCTCCTCTGCTCAGGGACTCCCTGGGCTGCACACGAGGTGTGGCCAGTCTGCTTTTTCCACTAGAGGCTGCACTGGGGAATAATGGGCTTCCAGCTCACCCAAGAGCTGGCTCTAATTCATCCCGCAGCTGTCCGACTGAGGATCCGTCAGTTTGCTGGTTGTGGGCTGGAGGCCACCTGCAGATGCCAGATGTCACACATGGCTCCTTGCCACGTAAGCTTCCGTATCTGTTCACTTCATCAAGCCGACAAGAGGAAGCTCTTCTCCAGTCTACTTAGATGGAGTCTCAGGTAATATAACGCAATCAGGAAGTGATGTCCCATCACCTTTGCCATAAACACGATCTAACCAAGGGCGTGGCACTGTTACCTTTGCCAGTTCTGTTGGTCAGAAGCAAGTCTCAGGGCCCTCCCACACTCAGGGGGAGAGGATTACCCCAAATGTGGACACTAGTAGGTGAAAATCACTGGAGGGGTCACCTTAGGGGTTTGTGTGCCACTTTATTAGTTTGAGAATCCACTTACTTAGAGAAAGGAAAATGCATTTACTTTTGCAAACATTCGTCCATCAGTCTAAAAAGGTCTTGGTAAATTTCCTTGGGCGCGTCCTGTCCGAGGTAAAAATCCACATGATTGTAGTGTGGGATCAACTTGTAGTAAATAAGCCTGGTAATCTTAGGGAGTAAATTCTCAACATCTTTGAGATCAGCCACACGGTCATGTCCTCCACTCCACACAGCCGTTGGTACTTCCATCTTTGTGACGTCATATAAGGGAGGTATAAGCTAGTTACAAGTAAAGAGATGGAGGAAAAAAAAAACAGTTTTTACAGAAAACCACCTAATGAAGTAGAATTAACTATTAATTGTTAAGCAAGTTCTTCAAATGCTCCAAGTGTGCAGTTAGAATACACTTAGTGATCTATAAACATTAAAATGTTCTAAGTACTTAAAAACACTTTTGTGCAATAATTTCAGTTGTGAGCAAATGAACAACAATGACAAAAAAAAAAAAAAAAAAAACCCACAACCATTTTATTCCTGATTTGCACTTAGAGGAAAATAGGAAAGAATTCTAGGGGAAGGGGACCCTCCCTTATTTCTATCTTTCTAGTAACACTTGCATGGGGACTATGACCTTTTCTAACAAAATAGACGTGTTTATGTATTGGATACATGTAAATGCTTCTTCTCATACACAGAAATCTGGACAAGGGGTTACTGACACTTGAGCAGGCTCTTGTGGGGGCATTGAGACCAACAGATGAAAACATTTGAAATACTAGGTTAAGCAGGAGACAGCCTGTTCCAGAGAACAGTGGCTGTGGTATTAATCTCTTGCCCCTTCTTTCTGGACATACAGCGTTTCTCACGCGGAACCGACAAATTCCATCCTCCAGTTTATCAGGGTCCAAGATGACTAGGCCTGGCCAATCCGTCCTTCATCCTTCTGGCCTCCGTGACTGGATGAGAGACAGGTACATGGCTAAAAACCAAGCCAGAGCTCTCTCTGGAACTTTCTGCTAGAGCAATTGAGAAACATACTTGCTTTTTCTTTGGGTTTGCGGTTGGAAGAATGCTATGAGCTAAGTACATCCAGGCACCCTTTCACTACTATTTTTTAAAATAGCTTAAGCAGGGAAAGGGCATACACAAGCAGAAGTGGGAGAGAGACAGGGAGGGATAGAGGGAGCTGGAGAGCCCGGAGGACAGTGTTTAAGTTTCTACCTATTGTGAATTTCCCACCACACTTCTTAGCTGAGTAAAGCATACTGCTTTTATATTTTTTAAACCTAAAATAGAGCTGTCTTCTGCTTAAGCCTCCAACTCTTGGTTTTGGCTCAGGTGGTCAACTTGGGGTCTTGAGATCTAGGCCCTGCCTGAGGCTCCATGCTGGGAGCAGAGCCTGCTTAAGATTCTCTCCCTCTGTCTCTGCCCCTCCCACTCATGCTCTCTCTCTTTCTCTAAAAATAAATAAATACATCTTTAAAAAAGAAAATGCACCATCATTAATTTTGGCAGCAACATTAGGAAGAAAAGGTCATACGGACAAAGGTACAGATCCTTAGGAACTTGTAACCTTGCCCGGGAGAGGTTTCCTAGATGAGAAATGCACACGGGGGGCCGTCCCTAACTCGGCGAATGTGCACCTGGAGTTCCCTGAGCAGGGCGGTATTCAGGCAGAGAGCACGGCTTTAGTCATTACAGAAGTCACTGGCATCCATGTGTTGGTGTCTGGGTCTTCGCATCGCTAAATATCTTACTGTTTCCATGTATGCTATACTGCTGGGAGACTGTGGCCTTGGGCTTAGAAGCAAGTGGTCAGTGAGAAGGTGTAGCTGCAACAGGGAGTGAGAAAGGCCGGGAAGCAAGTGAGTGCAGGTCAGCTGTGAGCAGAAGGGCTCAGGGGAACAGAAGGGCTCAGGGGAGCCGGTGCAGTGCCCAAAGGCAAAGAACAGCAGAGGCGAGAAGAGACGCGCTTCCCCTGACTCTGTGGGTTTCTCGGCGGGATTATACACGGCACAACGACCCGGATGCGAGGATAGCGAGAGCACAACCCAGAGGGAGCAGCACGTGCTAGCAAGTTTATGACAACAGACTGGGTCTCCGCAATGATTTAGGACCCCATGAAGGACGAAAGGGGGCCCAGAAGATGGCAAAGCAAACATGAACCTGAAAATCAGGTTGCAAATAAGACGTGCTGGCTTTGGGCCAAGAAATTCTTTTTTACTCTCGTGGTAATAAAGGATTGGTGATTCCATTGATAATCACGCCTGCCTAATTTAGGGCTATTACTTATCCTTGTGACAAAAGCTATTGCTTTGTACACTTGATGTCGTCTACCCTCAGTTTGGAATTTTCCATTATTCATTCCCTCCAAGGTCCCAAGTAAAAGATTGTAAATGAACTTGAGCTACTACCTCTCCCCACCCAGTCTTCTGAGGATCTGTGAGCACAATGGTAAAGCTAAGCCTTGTGACTCAGCTCTCAACCAAATTGATATCTGAGGCCACAGATAAGTTCATCAACCGAGACACTTTCCTTTGAGCAACTATCTACTCTTGAGAGGACGAGGAATCAATCGATTACAAGAGTAGACGTCACTTGGGACATAGTGGGTGAGTCTGTGGGTGGCCAGCAGTTTAGGAGAAAACTATAGAAGTTCGGGAGGAAAATTGGATTTTTCACACCAGCCAAAATTTTGCAATTTCAATACTGCAGTTGGGGTAGTACTGAAAATTTGCTTTTTAAAACAATTCCATTTTTTTCCGTATTCCTGATTTGAGGAACTCATGTGTCTTTGATGACTACTTGTTTAATTTGAGCTCAGTCTATTAGCATGAGGCCAAAATCAAATACAGATTTCCTTATCAATGCTGGAAAAAATAGCAACAAATAGAACATAACCTATTGTTCCAATGCTGGAAAAAATAACAACAAATAGAACATAACCTGTTGCCATTTAATATAGAACTTTGGCCCCAAAAGTTTTCAGAGATTGTGTTAGGAAGTATCTTGACTCACTGTATCTCTGACAGATAACAGCACTTCTTCCTTAGAGTGATAGTTCTGTCTGGTATATCTTTAGTGATCCATATACTGTTGTTGTTGTTACTGTTTTTATGAGTCATACATGGCATCCCAAAGAACTGTCCCAAAGTTTCTATTTTTTGAGAAGGAAGAAGTGCAGTGGAAGAAGAATGGATACAAAATCCAGGAACCCTGGGTCATAGTCATTATTAGCTAAATAATTTTGGCAATTTGGCAATTTACGTAACCTCTCTGAGGTTACGTATGAGGACAATCATATTTCCCTTGCACGGTCCTCGTGAGGATCACAGTAATGATGTGGAACCTGGCAGGAAACCAAGAAGTAGCATCTGACTGATATACAACATCTGGGGTAGTGTTGGTGTTTAACGAGTGAATACTACTTTATTAGTTTGCAAGCAGGTGCCCCTGATAATTATTGTCATCTCTGTACCTGGTGGAAGTGCCTCATGTTCTGATCAGCATTTCCCCAATCAAAAGCTTGGAACAGACCAGAATTAGCAGCCTGTAATAAAATAAAAATAAAAATGCATTACCGTGACATGAGAAGACAGCACACGTTGAAAGACAATAAACAGAAAATATACAAAGAGGATGACATCACATCCCACTGTTTGGGCACAAGAGCTAAAACCCAGTAGAGAGGAATAAACCCGATCATATAAATGATAAATATTGATATACCAATTCACAGAACTGACCATCTTTCAATCCCTTCCCCCATACTTCTCGCACGAAAATCCTGACAGCAATGTCCTTAAATGTTCTAATGCCTATGAAATGTTTACAAGGATGCTGGGTCGGATGATTCTTGAATATCGTAGCTTCAGGAATTTTAATACTTTTTTTAAAAGGCACCAGCTGGACATCTCCTACATTGAAAAGTGACTGTTTTCATGTACAAACAGGTTTGTACGTTATCCTAGGCAGGCGGTCTAGGATATTAGGACCATATTCCTTATTCTTAAACATTTTTGTCGCCATTGCAAGGAATGTTCACTCGGAGTCTCCTCAGCGCTTTCTGTTTGAGGTACAGTGCTGCTGTCCCCTATCTGCAGGGCCAGGCAGCCTGTGTCTCCCACGTCATCTGTTCCTGTGGCCACAGCCTCCAGGTCTGAGACACCACACGCACCCATATTTGCATTTTAATGTTTAGACTTTGGCTATTAGAATAGAAACATTCATAAGCCTCTACACCTAAGGGTTCCTTCTTCTGTGATTTGCCACGAAGCAGGTAATGTTCATATTTATCTCAAGGGCTTCATGAAATGATTCTCAGGCTACTCCAAGGGTTTTTTCTTAACTTGAATCTCTGATTTTTTTTCCACCCTCGTTGATTTAATCCTGACTTTTAGTTTAAAATTAGTCCCATAGTGATGTCTAAGGACAGACGCAGTAGTCTGTTGCTGTGGGAATTTTGCAGGGTTTTGGCAATGAGAGGCACTATCGTGGGCTACTTAGGTCATCTTCCCCAATGCTCATCTGTGAAATGGGAATCACAACATCCTCCTCACGGGGCTATGGAGATTTCTGTTTTTTTTTCTTTTTGGTTGTGAAGATTAAATAGGGTAACGCAACAAGATAAAATAAATAAATAGGGTAATGCATATGAAGTGGGTGACACCTAATTACCACCGTCAGCATCAGCCTCATCACCCCTGCCTTGGCTGTCTGAGTAACTTATGGCCACGTGATTTATCTCATCCCCTCCCCTCATCGTCCTGACTTATTTCTGTCCGAAGAGGATTTTCTGTCACAGGAGAAGAGACCTTCTGAAGAGCAGTCAGCTGGGAGATGCATAAGGGACTGGCTAGGATATCTGTAGAATGGGGGTCCCAACACCTCCATGGAAAGACTGTTATTAAGAATTCAGTGAGACTGAATGAAATCACACATATGAGTAGCAAGAACACATAGTAAGTGCTCAGTAAATGTGAAATTGAGGTCACGTCACCTGGAAGGCCATGCCCATCACAGGCTCCAACCGTCTCCTCACCGGGAGGAGGCCCTGTGGCCTTTTTCCTGCAGGAACTTGAAGGCTTGGCTCCTGGGGGGTACAACTCTTCAGAGGAGTTCAGAAATCCTCAACTAGTATTTCAGGCTATCTAGAGCAGTGCTTCTCAACCTTAAACCATGGAACAAATTTATTTGGGTGGAGGTTAAAGATTCCTAGGGATCTTAGATATATTAAAACTCTGGGAAGGCCTTTTTCTCCTCCTTCCTTTCCCCCCCATACACACACACGTTCATACATACTTGGCTCAGAAAGCTCTACCAATTGAATTTGACTTGTCTCTACACTTGCTGAATATTGAGTAATAGGATAAGCAGAACACTTAAAAAAATTTGAAACTGAGGGTAAAACCAGAAACCATTAATCTAGTTTAGTCCCTCTCTAACATTTAATTTGCTCAGAATGAAGCATGATTTCCATACTCTGAAATGGCCCACATGCCAATAGGAGGTTGAGCAGATCTTTCTGGAACAGCCCGTATCATGCTGTACAAAGTTCTGTTAGAACTGACAATTTTCCAAAAGAGGAAATACAAGCTTTCCCAGAAAAGGCAGTTTGGAGGGATCCAACAATCAGAGTTCAGTCAGAATCTGTGGGAACCAGGCCTGTAACACCAGACACTATTGAGGACATGAACAGAAGAGAGAACAGGAAGTCGCTGCACAACCCCACAGTGGGCTCTGTGAGACCAACTCCTCAGGGGTTTCCGAGACCTACGTGGACCTCATCTCAGGAATAGAAAGCTCTTACCTGGGCCCAGTGCAGCATATTCTGAACAGACGTGCCCGCGGAGCTCTGTGCCAAGTAAACATCCAAGCGACTCTGCAAAGGAGAGAATTTTTCCTCATCTGGAGGCTACTCATGTGACCACACCACAGATAAACCTGAATATTCTCTCTGTCAGGAATAAACATGTACCATACCCTCTTGAAGAACTTTCTCCTCCCTTGGCTCTAGTCTGCCCTGTGCAGCCTTCTGAAAGTCCAGAGGCCATCCTGCAGGGTCGAAGGCACTAACACATGTTCTCTCCAGCCTCACCTCAGACAGGTCCGACAGTCCAGGGGGTCAAGGGGTAAAAGCCACAGTGACCTTCCTCACCCTGGGTTGAGTCCCAAAAGACATTCCCAGAGAGTTGTTTATCATGAGGCATTGACAAAAGATCTGAATGTTTGCTTTCTGATTTTAACAACATGGTCAATATTCTGTAGGGCTCTCTGAAAGTTTGTGGGACATAACCCAACCAGTGTTGTAGCTTCCATTAACATTTAGATTTTTTTCTGGATTAAAAAAAATTTTTTTTCTGTATTTTCCATTGCATATTTTTTTGCATATACGAAAGAGTTATATATTTCCACCAAAGTAAGCCTACTAGAAGCATCATGGAGCTTTTAAAAAAACACAACCCCTCATTAGCTACCCAAACCTATTGAGTCAATATTAAAAGTTCTAGGGGTGAGTTCTGGACTTGTGAAGTTTTTCAAAGTTCCACAAACTCTTACTTATGCGTATCCACCCCTGCTTATCCACTAAAACATTCTTGTAGAGACTGTAATTTTCCATAGGATGGTCCCCAACAGTGAAAAAAAAATGGGCCAATCTGACTGTAAAAGTGTACAATGAAGGCCCTCCGTCGGCGTTATTCTGTGAAGTCTTTCTTTAGCAAGCTCTTAGGCCATGCCTCGAAGGTACTTTTGAAATGATCTCAATTGGGTGTGCGTAAAGTCCTCTTACTCAGCTCTGCCTACATGATATATCTCCATCTAAGTGATAAACAAGCATAGTTCCCTTCAGTAAACTGAGAAGAACGTTTGGGTGTGCGTAAAAGTCCTCTTACTCAGCTCTGTCTACATGATATGCCTCCATCTAAGTGATAAGTACAGTTCCCTTCAGTAAACTGAGAATAACGTAGGGGAGGAATGTGGAAAGCCAGTGACTAAGGCACGCTTTCCATAAACCGCCTTTTATAAGTCTTGCCTGAAAGCAAGAGAGGTGTTATCAGTGCCTTCCACTAACAGAGGGGGACTAGATTCTGGGCAGAAGTCTGGGAGATAGTCGAAGACCATTTTCAGCTTTGTCCTGCCTCTGGTTTCAAAGATACTTCCTCTCTGGCTGGGGAGTAAACTGTACACAGTGGACAGTAGCTGACTCTTTGGCTCAGCTAGTGGGGACCAAGGAAGAAAAAGATTTCATCTGGAGAGAAATCACCAGTAACCCAGCTTATCCCTCTCAGTGTCCCTTGAACAGTGAATCTATACTTAACATTGGAAAGCCACCCCTTAATCTCTTTGGATTAAAAAAGTAAGTGGTTCACAAAATGACTATTTCCAAGTCACCTATGAAAGAGGAAGACTGGTTCAAAAACAGACGCCTGAGCTTACTCCCTGAGATTCTACTTTGGTAGGTGTGGGGTAGCATTTAGGCATAGCAAGATAAATTTCAAAATCATAGTCTTCATGTAAGTGAAGGACTTTCCAAGGGCGGCATGTTGGCCAATAGCAAGAGTTGGTGAGAATGTTCAGTGGCCAAGCCTTCTCCTCAGATCCTCCTACTAAAGCAGGTGGACTCCCCAGCTTTGGTTGGAAACCACCACCATGTATCTTCAATTCAGAAGACAAAAAAAAAAAAAAAGAAAAGAAAAGAAAAAAAAGAAAAAGAAAGGTCTTGAAATGTGGTCTCCACATGATTCAGTACAAATTCTCCTCACCTCTGTGCAACAAAACAATTGTTTTCTTGGCTCTGACTACTTACACATACCATGTTTAAGTTTTTCGGGTCAAATCCACTCAAAGTAAACAGGAAGTTGCTGCAAATATGACGAAATAGCTTCCGGTTGCACACCTTGGTGGCAATGAATTGGTCAAAAAACGTATGAGGGTAGAACATCTTGTCACCAAATAGTGCCTGAAGGATGAGTATAAGACACCATCAGATTTCATGGATGTGGACATCAAGAGTGGAAAGGGACAGACAAGGGCTGGACAGCAGTGGTATCTGCACAACACTAGTCCTCAGTGAAATGGAGAGCTCTGTTAAATTTTGTCTTTGGTTCTCCCAACCCACCCTAGTGGTCTTCCCAACTTTCCTCTTGATGCCTTTTCCCAAGATCCTCTACTTGGGGTGTTTTGAGAATGCCCCTTGTGAAACCAGTCCCTGTAGGGAACTGGTAAGTCTTTGGAGTGGGGGATACCTTGGTTCAATTCTGGACTCTGTTTCTTATACCTTAAGGAAATATTGAATTTCAATTATCCAGGAGTTTCCCAACAATGACATGAAAAATTAATATGCAGTATGTAGGACTCTTGTGAAGATAATAGGTCACGTTTAAAAGGAGCCTTCTGGGGGCACCTGGGTGGCTCAGTGGGTTAAGCCTCTGCCTTCAGCTCAGGTCATGATCTCAGGGTCCCGGGATCAAGCCCCACATCAGGCTTTCTGCTCAGCAGGGACCCTGCTGCCCCCCCACCTGCCTGCCTCTTTGCCTATTTGTGATCTCTCCCTCTGTCAAATAAATAAATACAATCTTTTTTAAAAAAGGAGCCTTCTGCAGTTTCTAGAATCTAGTGAACACTCCTCACACAATAACTGCTATTATAATTAATGAATGATTGTTCCAGAATCTTTCAGCGAAATCTTCCAGAGGCAAAAGCTTAACCCCCCAAATCAATCTCTACTAATGGAATTTCAGGCAATGTTGTCAGTGAGTTGAATTTACCCTCTGAACTTTAGGAATCCCTTCAAATTAGAACACAAATTCATATCTAATTCCTGTGCATAGAAGATGAATCTTGCCTTTGTTTCACAATAACTTGTTTTATAATCTTAAATTAGATACAAAGATGAAAATATTCTAAAAAAAGACTTTATGTGTTTATTTGAGAGAGAAAGAGAGCGGCAGGAGGGGCAGAGGAAGAGGGAGGGAAACAAGCAGATTTCCTGTTGAGTGCAGAGCCTGGTAGCTCGATCCTAGGACCATGAGATCATTACCTGAGCTGAAGCCAGACAACCGCTCCTTCACCCTGACTGAAAGAGAAAGGATAGCAATGCAGGCTAGCCAGCCATGCGGCTCCCATTCCTACGGTGTAGTCAACGTGACGTGTAGACTGTAATTCCAAGTTGGTTCTGGAGGGGGCGTACTTGTCACGTAGCAGCATATAGTTCTAGCCGCTGTGATTTTAAGGTGTTCCTTCTAGGTACAGGGCCCCATGCCAGGCCACGTGGTTTGCCAAGCAGAACATGGGCTGGATGTAGCTCTCGATGGCCTGCTGAGCTGGGCACCATGTGCATGGCTGTATAAGGATCCAGAACTGACTTTTTCAGGTTGGCATTGGAAAGGAGGGGAAATAACTATGTAGAAGAAAGAACATCGACCATAGATGGCCTGGTCAGATCTGGGTTCAGGTTCTGGTTCCACCACCCATTCGCTGGGTCATTTGGGACAGGGTGCTTAGCCTTTTTGAGCCACAGGTTCTTCTTTTAGAAATGAAGACGGGCGCTTTGTTGGCTCAGTTGGTTAAGCGTCCAACTCTTGATTTTGGCTCAGGTCATGATCTCAGGGTTGTGAGATCAAGGCCCACCTTGGGCTCTGTGCTATGTGTGGAGCCTGCTTTGGATTCTTTCTCTCCCTCTGCCTCTAAAGAGAGGAAGAAAAAAAGAAATAGAGAAAGGATGGAAGAAAGGAAGACAATACTAACAATCCTTACTACTATAGATAACATGCAAAGAGGAAAGGGTCAAAGCAAGCTGTAGGTCAGAAAAAAGATAGAGGGGCAAGAACACAGAAATGATCAGGGGTAAAACAGGGGTGGAAGATGTGGAGAGGATAAGCAGTTGGTAATTAGGAGATCTGAAGCACCAAGTGCTGAGGTTTTGAATCTAAAATAAACTCAAATAATAATACTAGACTGAGCAACTGCTATAAGCCAGATACGATGCTTAAACATATATCGTCTCAATCAATCTCCAAAAAAATTTGACAAATCTTACCCTTTTATAAAAACTCATTCATTCATTTTCAACTTTACAGAGGAATAATTGATATCATAAGACAGTAAGTGTCTTATAAATGGAAGTTTGTACGCTTTGACCTACATTTCCCCATTTCCCCCTCCTCCAGCCCCTACTAAGTACCATTCTATTCCCCTTTTCTATGAAATTGGTTTTTTAATATTAGATTCTACATATAAGTGATTCAGTACAGTATTTGTCATTCTCTGTTTGGCTTATTTCACTTAGCGTTGTGCCCACTAGTTTCATCTGGTTTCCTTATTCTCTTTTGACTTTTTTATGTTCTTTTAAATTTTCCCATTTTAATTTGTCTTTACTGTTTTCCAGAAGAGCTACACTAATTTACAGTTTCACCAGTAGTGTACAAGGGTTCGCTTTTCTCAACATCCTTGCCAACATTTATTTCTTGTCTTTTTGGTAAAACCCATCTAACGAGTATGAGGCAATGCTCCATTGTGGTTTTGGTTTCCATCTCCCTGATGATGAGTGAGGTTGCGTATCTTTCCATGTGTCTGCTGGTCATTTGCATACCTTCTTTGGAAAAATGTGCATTCTTGTCCTTTGCCCATTTTTAATTGGATTACTTGGTTTTTTGGCTATTGAATTGTATGAGCTTTTTATATATTTTGGTAATTAACCCCTGATCAGATACATGGTTTGCAAAGATTTTCTCCCATTCTGTAGGCTGCATTTTCAATATATTAATCACTACTTTTGCTGTTGAAGCTTTTTAGTTAGTCCCATTTGCTGATATTGCCGGTACTCTTGATGTTTTATCCAGAAAAATCATCAGCAAGACCAACGTCAAGGAGACTTTTCCCTATGCTTTTTTTTTTTTTTTAAGATTTTATTTATTTATTTGACAGAGAGAGAGATCATAGGTAGGCAGAGAGGCAGGCAGAGAGAGAGAGGGGGAAGCAGGCTCCCCGCTGAGCAGAGAGCCTGATGTGGGGCTTGATCCCAGGACCCTGGGATCATGACCCGAGCCAAAGGCAGAGGCTTAACCCACTGAGCCACCCAGGTGCCCCTCCCTATGCTTTTTTCTAGGAGTTTTATGGTTTCAGATCTTCAGTGTAAGTTTTTAATCTACTTTGAGTTAATTTTTGTGAGTGGTGTAACATAGCGGTTCTGTTTCATTCTTTTTTTAAGATTTTATTTTTTTAAGATTTTATTTGACAAAAGAGAGAGAGAGAGCGCACGCAAGCAGGGGGAGCGGCAGGCAGAGGACTCGATCCCAGGATCCTGGGATCATGACCTGAGCCGAAGGCAGATGCTTAACCAACTGAGCCACCCAGGTTCCCCTCATTCTTTTGCATGTGGCTGTCCAGTACCCCAATACCATGTATTGAAGGGATTGTTTTTTCGCCATTGAGTGTTCATAGTACCCTTGTCAGAGATCAGTAGACCATAAGTGTGGGTTTATTTCTGGTTCCCTCTTCTATCCCCCTGGTCTACGCACCTGTTTTTATGCTAGTACAATACTGTTTTGATGACTGTAGCTTCGTAAGAGAGTTTGAAATCGGGAAGGGGGATGCCTCCACTTTTGCTCTGCTTTCACAAGACTGGTTGGGCTATTTGGGGCCTTTGTATTTCCATACAAATTTTAGGATCTTTTTTTCCAGTTCTGTGAAAATTGCCATTGGAATTTTGATAGGGATAGCACCGAATCTGCAGTTCGCTCTGGGTTGTATGGGCACATTAGTGATATTAATCCTTCCAATCTGTGAACACAGGGTATCTTTTTATTTATTTGCATCTTTCTGGGTTGTATAGGTATGGAACTGAATCACCATGGGCTAATTTACTTATTTCTCACAAGTCAGAATTCCTGGCTTCTATAAAAATGTTCTCCCTTCCATCTGCTTTGATTGAAATCACTGAATGCAACAATCACTTTCAGTCTCCGTGGGAGAAGCCCATATTAATCTGTTCATTACACCAATTCATTTCAACAGAGTAACTGATCAGATTAGTGAGCTGTCAGCACACAGAGGGAATCTGGAGTTCAGGATATTGCCCAGATTTTGAGGAGTCGACAGACTGAGTCTATGAAGCATGGGCAGTTGAGTAAGGTTGGGCTTTTAGTGGGGCGCCTGTGTGACACAGTTGGGTAAGGATCTGACTCTTACTTTCAGCTCAGGTGGTGATTTCAGGGTTGGGAGATCGAGCCCCACATCAGGCTCCATGTTCAGCGGGGAATCTGCTTCAGATTCTCTCTCCCTCTCCCTCTGCCCCTCCTGCTCATGCTTGCTCTCTCTCTCTCTCTCTCTCAAATAAATAAATAAATAAATAAATAAATAAATAAATAAATATTTTTTTAAAAAGGTTGGACTTTTCAGGTGGGAAGAAAGTAGGTTCTAGGCAAATCCTGATAGCAGTGAGTAGCTGACATTTATTCAAATTTTATAATGTGCAAGACCAGATTCTAAGGGATTCTCAAGTCTGAACTCAATCTTCACAGCAGCCTGAGGAGTAGGAACTATTAATATTCCCTCTTTGGGGCACTTGGGTGGCTCAGTGGGTTAAAGCCTCTGTCTTCTGCTCAGGTCATGATCTCAGGGTCCTAGGATTGAGCCCCACTTCGGGCTCCCTGTAGGGAGCTTGCTTCCTCCTCTCTCTGCCTGCCTCTCTGCCTACTTGTGATCTCTGTCTGTCAAATAAATAAAATCTTAAAAAATAAATCCTGTCTTTATGGGTGAAGAACATGATTCACAAAACCCATAAGGTCTTGACCAAAGTTACCCAGCCAGCTAGGATCCAACCGCATTCCACCCACTGCCATGCTGTGTTCTCAATCCCTACCCCATATTGCTCCTAAAAAACCAGGGGCCACTAGAGAGAAATTTAACCCACAAGATTAAACAAATCAATTAAGCACCTCAATATTGGCTTTATCTGTGAGAAACGACATGGGATAGAATCCCCTGATGTAAGATTTAGACAATAGGGTAGGATGGTATCGGTGTGAGCTCCCTGAACCCTGTCGGTAAAATTTCGTGATCAACAGATCTATGTAGACATCTTACATCTGTGATAGTCTCAGAAGCTTGTAAAATGCCATTTTGTCTAAGGTTTTCTTCTCTTGAAATCAGTAAAAATAGAACTAGTTTTAGTAACTATAGATTTAAACTTGGAGGAGTCACATACCTTGACTAATTCTCTGGAAAGAGTTTTCAATTTTTTCATAGGACTTTGGGTGTATTTCACCGTGATGACTGGAGCCAATGCAAAAAATATCTTAATCCTTTTAGCCAGCTCTGGATTGGTAGAGAATGCTATGAAGGCTGAAGGGGAAGAACACACGAGTCTATAGATCTAAAACAATTCTTCATTCACCATAAATGAGAGCAAAAGGAGGCATGTTAAAAGCAACAACAGCCACTACAAAAACAAATCAAAATAACTACCATTGGTAAGGGAAACTTTCCTAAACTTCTCAAGAAGAAAATCGGGTAATTCAAAATGCAATGACTTTCCTGTCCCTGGAGAATTTAAGTCTACTCATAGTGCTGCAGAAAGGGTTCAAACATCCACTGGGGGGCATGGCCAGGTAGACGTCAAGGGCCAATCTACCTTGACCATACTCTTTGGTATCAGACAATGCTTGGCCCACAATTTTGGCTTCCCATTCACTAGCCGTGGCAAGTCTTAGTTTGCTCAAACTGTAAATGTGGAAAAGAGAATCCTCACAGGATGATTATTTTGAATCACATATATATAAAACGGAAGGTATTCTTTGGCATTCTCGCCATTGGGAAGGATTTCCAAATTCAGCCATTTGTAAAACATGGAGGATAATGGTCTCAAATATTTCTAGGTTGCCATGAGAGATGGTACGTAAGATGCATAGCATCCAAAGACCTACTTTACACCAGAAACCTTGTTAGGATTCAGATGCAGAAAAGAGCCTGGTGGAGATGCTGTTAGTATTGTTGAGGTGTCTAGCTACATGGGAAGCAGGGCAGGGGGTGAAGTGCCTCATGCCATTGTCAACATGGCCCCATCTACCTCTAGCCTATCCCAGGGCCTCTGGGAACAAAAAGAAACAATAATTATGGCATATGATTTCCACAGTTTGTAATTCTCTGATTTCTTTTTGGTGTCCTCAATCAATTGAAAGCTCTTTAAGGGAAAGACTGTATCATTTTTATCTCAGCCTTCCCCGCGTCTAAACCAGCGTCCAGCAACCGTGTGTGGTATATACACACGTGAATAAGTCCCTCTCCCTCAGGCTTATCTGTCCATTTCCAAATTCAGTCCTGGGGCAGCAGAAATCCCTGGTGTCCTCCTCACTTTATTTACTCTTCAGAAACCAGTCAGAGGAAACGGTTTCCCAGGCCAAGTCCTCAAGCTCGAGACTGCACAGAGGGAAGAAGTCCTTAATCCTTTCATGAATCTGGAAGGTTCTCTGACACTCTCAGATCCCACCTGCCCCGAACATACCGATGGTGGTGCCTTGTGAGTGGCCCACATAATAGATTCGCTCTTGTCCAGTTTTCTCTACGATAAAATCGATTGTGGCCGGAAGGTCATAGCCAGCCATCTCGTCCACACTGCCAAAGAGAAAGAACAACAAAACTGGGAAAAGAAACCATCCATTGTCAGGCCTGCAATGTTTAGACATGTTGATTGCAGGCATAGAGACATAGCTTTTGTCAGTTTAAGACTAGAGTCAATATAGAACTTTCGGCATCTCGGCAAGTTTTGGGGATGTCCCCTTGATTGTAAGAGTCACATGGTGAAGAGATCAGAATTGGAAAAATCTGCTTTGCAAAGGCCCAGAGAGCATTTTCCTGTAAGCCTTGTCATAGTTCACTAAATTCTACGGCAGATTTACCAACCCCCCTTGAAAAGAACAGTGCCTGGGATGCTTATTTTAAAAGCAGACTAAAGCAAGCAGATCTGCAGGCGTCAGCCCGGACAGACGGAATCAGAATTTCCAGGGAAGCGGCACAGCGATCTGTGTATTTATCAATCACATCAGCTGCTTTGCTGATGTAACTGGGAAAACGTTCACCTAGGGAATGATCGTGGTACCTGTACTCGTGCCGTCACAGGGTGGCACTGGGGTGAGGAATGAGGAAATACCGAGAAAGGCACCAATAGCTTTAGTGGCCCGTAAGTCATGCTTCTTAGCTCCTGGGCCAGGATGGACGGTCGTCCCTGGCTGCTGTGGCTTCTAGAGCAGACCGTGCCCCAGGTGCTGTTGTTGGCAACTCTGCCCTTCTGTCATTCTGTGCTCTCAGGCTTTCTTTTTATTTCCCCGGGACCCTGACTCCAGGCCCAGGTCTCAGCCCTGCCAGCCGATGGTTTATTCCTTCTCAGTGAACAAACATTGGAGGTACCACTTGTGCAGACTCACCCAGGGCTCACTCTTGGCTTATCATACATATCGGGGCCTCAACATTTGCACCCAGAACCTTGTTTCTGGTCCCATGTCTCCATCAATTTCCACTTGAGCAAGCACCCCATGTAAGCTTCCTTTGGGGTCCACAGTGGCCAAGTGATAGTCCTGGAATTAACCTTCCTAAAAATGATCTCTGCATTTTGATTTTTTCTTTTTGCATATACTTTGCACACACACACATACACCAGCAAGCGGGGTTTTTAAAACAAACAGCAATGCAGTGAATAAGGGCATTTCTCCAGAGCCTGGGTAGAGGAAGAAACATTTGTTTCCTTCTTATGGATTCCACTGGGTTGTGTGTGCACAGAAAGGGGAAATCCCGAGGGTGTTCATGTCCATGAACAAGGTATACCCTTTATTTATTAGGACACAGCTCCTTACCTGAAGGCCCAGTATTCTCGAGATTTGGGTGAAAATTTCAAGTGTTTCCTGGACCAGGTGTTGCCCCGGCTGTTCCCCATCCACACGTCATAACCGCGATCTGCCAGAAGGAAAGCCAGGCTGTTGTTTGGGAGGTTGCATATCCAGTTAGTGGCAGACGCGATTAAGCCATGTTGCAAATATACGACAGGTCTCGGAGCTGAAACACACACGGGCAACAAGACTCTCAGGTCCCCATGACCTCAGGGTCTGTAGGGGAATCCTCCTTCCTGACTTCCTCTAGCAGAACAGAGGGCAAGGGATGGCATTTGGCATCCAGGCAAACCTGGCTTCGAGTCCTCTGTGAACAACTTACTTGGGCAAGTAATTTGTCGTCTTCTGTCTTGTTTTTCTCTTTGTAAAATTTGGATTATATATACTGTTTTATGTTGTTCTGTGGGCACTGGAGTCAGGTTGTTCTTGCTCAAAGTCGATTCTGCTACACATTAACCCCTTGTGCCTCAGGTAACTTATCTGTATAATGCGCAGTGATAACAAATGCTATCTCCTAGTGTAGTCGAAAGAATTAAATTAGAATTAAAATACTTAGGGGCGCGTGGATGGCTCAGTCAGTTAAGTGTCTGCCTTTGGCTGAGGTCATGATCTCAAGGTCCTGGGATAGAGCCCTGTGTTGGGCTCCGCACTCAGTGGGGGGAGGGATGTCTGCTTCAGGATTCTTTCTCTTCATCTCTGCTCCCCCCTACACTTACCCTCTCTCACTCTCTCTCTAAAATAAATAAACAAATCTTTAAAAAATACATAAAAGATTGTCCAGCATAATGAATCATTTCTCTCTGATTATTCATATCAATAAGGCTTGCTGTCTCACAGAGCTTCTGACTACCAAACTAAATTTTTCTCGAAATAATAACAGAAACATTAAAAAGTGCCATTTGTGAATATTGACTGAGTGCCAGGCACTAGGCTCGATTTTACACACGCCACATGGTCTCATTCACATTGTCAGAAAGCAAAACAGCAAAAGGCAAGGTGTTCAGGAGCATGTTATGCAAAGCGAAATTGCAAAGTCCTGTTCACAATGTAGAACTGGGACAGCTTGATGAAGAAGAAGGCGAGAAGTGGTGTTGAGACACAGACAAGAGAGAAAGTGACAACGGTGTTCTTGTCTTTTACAAAGGGTTTGTAACTGCGCTGGTACCCAGGACCCCCTCAGCTCCCCTGGGCTGGGCCAGTTCCCAGGGATCGGGCAGCTACACCGGGGTCCCAGAGAGCCTTCTGTCACCCAGACGCAAGAAACTAAAGTCTATGTTCATTCAGTCTACCTTTGGAGGAAAGGGAAAGAAGGGGTGTTACTAATTCTGCTCAGTTATTGCCAAAGAGCAGTCATAATCCATAGCCCACCCCGGATCTTCTCACTGTAGTCAACTGTCCAGCTCACGCATTTCAGCAGCTAGCTGGCAAACCAAAATAAAAGTCTGGGCAAAGTTCTCAATGACTATTTTCAAAGGTAATGAGGTTACCTAGAATCTAGATTTTTCTCTTTACACGATAAACCATTCGGATTTGGGTAAGATTCATTATACAAGACTCCAGAGGATCAAAGGAGCTAAGATTTGAGAGAAGAAAGCAACAGTTCTTGCCGGATGAATTCCCCCTTTCTCTACAGAGATCAGTCTGTGTTGTAGGGAGCTAGGAGTGGCTCATTAATCAACGTTAAGTATAGCACTAATTGGGCCCAACTTAGGGCCCCTGGGTGCTCAGTCAGTTAAGCATCTGCCTTTGGCTTGGGTCATGATCCCAGGGTCCTGGGATCAAGTCCCACATTGGGTTCCTGGCTCAGCGGGGAGTCTGCTTCTCCCTCTACCCCTCCCCACTACTAATGAGTTCTCTCCCTTTCTCTCTTTCTCTCTGTCTTTCAAATACATAAATAAAATATAATCTTTTAAAAAATCAGGTCAGATTTACTTAAAACATGAAGTCCCAATGACTTAAGAAGAGAACTAATTGCAAATGAAGTAAGTTGGAAAGCTGTCAAGATAGCTGAAGCAAAAGACAGTGATCATGTCCAAGCCTAGACTTGAGGAATACTGAAGCGGAGAGAAGTTTTCAGATGAAAGACAGATTGGAGGCAAAACTGATAGCTTTTTTTTTTTTTTAAAGATTTTATTTATTTATTTGATAGACAGAGATCACAAGTAGGCAGAGAGAGAGGGGAGGAAGCAGGCTCCCTGCAGAGCAGAGAGCCCGATGTGGGGCTTGATCCCAGGACCCTGGGATCATGACCTGAGCTGAAGGCAGAGGCTTTAACCCACTGAGCCACCCAGGTGCCCAAAACTGATAGCTCTTGACGACTCACTGCATATAGGAAGTGACAGAGAAGAAAGCATCAAGTTGACTCCTAGGGGTCTGATGGTTAAGCCTGAAAAGTGTATCTCCAGAACAAGACCAAGTTTTCTTTCATGTTTTTTGGGAAGAAAAATGTGATGGAGTATAAAAAGATTAAATAAAAAGATTAAATAAAAAGAACTTTGAACAACATGGGTCCACTTATACGGGGTGTTTTTGATAAATCCAGTACAGTCCTATAAATGTATTTTCTATTCCTTATGATTTTCTAAACATTTCCTATTCTCTACCCCACTTCACTGTAAGAATACAGTATATGATGCCCATAACAGACAAAGTATGTGTTAATTGACTATTTATGTTATTGTTGAGGCTTGTGGTCAACAGTAGGCTATCAGTAGCTAAGTTTTGGGGGAGCCAAAAGTTACATGTGAGTTTTCAGCTGTTTAGTGGTGTCCCTAACTCCCATGTTGTTTGATCCAACTGCGTATCTAAATGCTTGAAAAACTCCAGAAGATTCTACGAGCGAAATGGAGCAAGACTGGTGGAGGTGATGAGTTTCTTATTTCAGAACCAAAGCTGCCTCTGCTCTGCTTCTCTCAGCACCCCTAGGAATCTCTGCCGTAGGCATTCTTCCTTCCATAACAAAATAAATCCTACTTGTTCTGGGACATCCTCTTCCATGAGGAATCCGGTAAATTCCGAGGACATAACCATCTTTGGTCACAACATCATACTCTTCGCAAGGGTAACCCCAGTAGGAAATAATCTGGCTCTGAAAAGAGAAGAAGAAAACAGACACAACCATGATGTCACCTCTCGGTTCGTATACCTACACTGCAGTATAGCACTTTGAATTACACAACCTACTGTTCAGCTAAGTACTGGGACAGAATGTAGCAGGAAAATCAGGATCACTTGAGGAAGATTTTAGAAGAGGGTTGCATGCAAAGGCAGGGGAAGGCAAGGTAAGGTGACCATACCTCCTGGTATTATTAATGCCACCCGGGTTCACTCTCAAAATGTTTGGAAAAAAAAAAAATTGGATGGTCATGGTCAGCTACTGAGGGAAGCCATGGGGATTGTATAGGACCCCATGGCAGGTAACAAGTGAGCTATGACTAGACAACCTTAAAGAGAGGTGGGAGAAAGTAGTCACCAGGCCCAGAATGAGATAGGTAGAAAGGGCCACATGGAGAAGAAGGAGACAGCCCACCTAAGGTGACCACGTGGAGGAAACAAGGGCAACAAGCCATCCAACCTCCCTCTTGTCCTTCCGATCTCCGCTTAAGATTTCAAAGGGCTGAACTGAACTGAAGTCAATGTCAAAGGAGCTTGTGGATCTAGGTCAGCTTCTTGAGCAGAGGGAAAGATGCAAAGAAGAGAGAATGAACCCAAATGAAAGATACCTCCTGCACAGATACATAGGCAGGAGGGGAAATGTTGTTTGCTGGTCATCTTCTGCAGAAAGAGTGTGGTGGATATGTTCTGCTTTATTAATCCTTACAACGAGCCTTTGAGATGGGGTCATACCCACTTACAACGGAGAGAAGGGAGTGTCAGCGAGCTGCACAATCTATCTGAGATTGTATGCTAGGAAGAGAGAAAGACAAAATTAAAGCATAAGGAAGCTTAGCCCCCAAAGTGCATGCTTTACCACGGGATTACGCAGGTACTCATGCAAAGTGCACGAAAGATGTGCATATGCATTTAAAGCAGTGGTTATGAGCCTAGACTCTAGAGACAAACCACATGGCATTGAAAGCTAGCTCTTTCTCTTCTTAGCTGGGCAACTCCGGACAACTTATTTAACCCTTTTGTCCCTCAACTGTAAAATAAAAACAATACTAGTATCTCTTCACAGACTTGTTCTGGGGACTTCACATAAAGTATCTAGAACAGTGCCTGGCACCCAGCAAGTGCCCTGGAGATGTTTATCATTCTCATTATCTTTATAGAATAATTAAGAACCCCAAAGCACCCAGACCAGGAAGGAAGAGAATGTGTGTGAATATGAGAGAAAGAGGGAAAATTCCATATGACGACATATAGTCACGGACTGTGAGGTCAGCCGTGTAGGAGGTTAGGGGTGCCTGCTGCTTACTATGGGGAGAGGAACAACAGGAGACACTAATTAGACACTGTGACAGTTGCATTCTTCTCAAAGTCCTAACACAGCCTTGACATGGGTGAGGACATCACTGGTGCAGAATGTGTGCAAGAGTATGGAGTAACCCACTGGAATGAAGGCTATGGTGGAAACTGGTCATTTTCTTTCCTTCCTTCTTTTTCTTTCTTCCTTTCCTTTCTTTTCCTTTCCTTTCCCTTCCTTCCTCCTTTCCTTCCCTTTCCACCTTTCTTCCTTTTTCTTTTCTTTCTTTCCTTCCCTTTCTTTTCTTATTTATTTATTTATTTATTTATTTATTTATTTAATTTTTTTGAGAAAGAGAGAGATCACAAGTAGGCTGAGAGTCAGGCAGAGAGGCAGGTGGGGTGGGGGGAAGCAGGCTCCCTGCCGAGCAGGGAGCCCGATGTGGGGCTGGATCCCAGGACCTTGGGATCATAACCTGAGCTGAAGGCAGAGGCTTTAACCCACTGAGCCACCCAGGTGCCCCGCCTTTCTTTTCTATTCTTTTCTTTCTCTCCCTTCCTTCCTTCCTCTCTCTCTCTCTCCCTCCCCCCCTTTCTTTCTTTCCTTCTTTCCTCTCCTTTTTTGACTAACACTGTTCCATTCTACTCTATTCCTTTTCACCTCTGGTATAAATTTCTATATGTTAAGATACTTTCAGTTATAAACAACAGAAACCATGTCTGGCTTATTAAACTAAGAAAAACACTGAAACAGCTCACAAATTAAATAAATGACTTTAGAAAGAACTTCAGGGAGAATGCATAGATAATCTGTGGAGGTCCTCAGTATGAACTCATGGAACTGTTCTTCACGAAACCACCATCAGGTAGCTCCTGGTAGCTCCAACCACCAGGAAAGGGAATATCACAGCCTCAACTTGGCTCATATCTTTAAAAGTTTAGATTAGCAACTTCCAGACCTGGTTAGCCCATGCCAGGGAACAGGGGCACGACACAGATTTAGTCAATGCAGAACTGGTTGTAGACAAGCACACCAATTAGATCTAAAATGATGATACATTAATAATTTCTTATCTTAATGTTTGTTTTTCATGAAGGACTTACAATATTCATATTAGCTTCAGGATTTGTGATACTTCCTTTCTTGTGAAAACCATATACAGGTCCAAGAAGAAGCATCCAGTATGCTGTTGCTAAAAGCTGCTGCATTTGGGGTCTGCCTGGGAAAGGAAATATTAATATATTTGTCATCAGAGAGAATGCTACAAGTGAACTTTGTGTAATCCTTCTGTAATACGACTGCAGGAGAGAGTAGAAACATGATTCTAGGTTGTGCTTTAGCAAGCAATAAACTTAATATTCAAGACTAATTCCAAGAAAAATCTGAAATTATGAATCTTTAGTAAGAAAAGAAAGAAGGAAGGAAGGAAAGAAGGAAGGAAGGAAGGAAAACATAAACATCAAATAAGTCTCCACTATACAGGTGGACAAAAGAAGGGAATGTAGAATTTGCTGAGAAAGAAATATAGTGGCCAATATATTCATGAAGCACATTCAATATCTCTAGTTATCAAATGAATTAATTCCTTTTTTTCTGATCATAGGAGTAAGCACTGGCACAAACTTTACAGAGAGAAATTTATTACCATGACTTACAAATTTAAAAATATTCATACTTTTCACTCAGCAATTCTGTTTCCAGCAGTCTATCCAAAGGAAAAATAATATACATAATCATAAAGAAATACATATTATAAAATCACTCCTGATTATATATCTTAATATAGAGAAATTTACCAACTAAGAGATTGATAAAATAAATTATGGGCGAGGAAGAATGGTATTATCCAGCCATCAAGTACAATGTTTATAAGTGTTATGTGAAATCTCTATTATATAATATTAAGGGAAAAGCAATGTGAATTGTGCACATATGTTGAGCCCAATGAAAAAAAGCAAATGACAGAGAAAAAAAGACTGTCCCCTGCCAAACCCCTCATGACTGACCCTAAGACCTGACTTTGCCCGCTGCACGTACCCATTCACATTCGCCCGACATTTTCCTTAAGTTCTTTTTTACAGCCTATCTCTTAAGCCGGGGTGGGGCGGTGGGGACCATGATGGGCACAGCACTCTATGACAGAAACCCAAACTACACCCCTCAAGCAATAACAATCGTCCAGAGGAAGAGCTCCGGTCGCCCAGAGCACCCTAACGGGTGTGAGCTTAAACCCGGACTCACGCCAGCACAGATGGACCGTGGAGTGACCTGGTTGCCTCTACCTCCTTATAACGCTAAAATCTCCACTCAAGGGGGGCACAAGCTTATTTACATAACGTGCAATGTATGTGCAGACAAGACTCCTGAGGGTGCATGCTCAACCTCATCTCTGCCTCTAGTAGGTCCGACGACGAGGCTCCTGTATTTAAATACTCATCGTCACCCTGAGTAAAAGGAACCCATCCTTGCTCAGGGGTCCCAGCTTTGTAAGTTATTATTCCCTACGATCTCCTTATTCGCTGCAAATGACGTTTTCTTTGTGCGACAACACACCTGGTGTAGTTTCTCTCTGTGACTCACCAAGCAACAAACTCACGCAGTTGCCTCAACACCAAATTTTAATTACGGTTATATCTGGATGGTGAATATTTGGGTGATTAGTGTCTCATTTTTCTGGACTTTCCATGCTTTATAGTATATATTTTTTAAATATCTAGTATTACTTTGTCATAAAAAAGAAGTTACTTTTCAAATAGAAAATTCTCAGAATGGTGGGGGAGAAAAGATGATTATATCCCCCATTTGGCTTTGAAACCACTTAAGTTTAAAAGCAACATGCAAGGAAACGATCGCAGAAATAACACAGGGGGACACTTTGCAGGATGGAGAGTCTTTGATTCAAGACACTGCGGCCCATCACCACTGCGTACTGCCTCTCCTGTGTGTGCTGGGACCTTGGATCAGGTCATCTCTTCGTGACTAGCAGCAAGACCACGTTTCATGGAATTTTCAGTAATTTAATATAAAAGTCTACAAGCTAACAATCTAATTCAAAGACGTTGGTCACCTTGCTGCTTCCTCATTCCTGGCCCTCTGGTAAAAAAAAAAAAAAGGAAAACTTCTTTATTCAAGAGAAGGAGAAATTACTCATCATTTCTGCACACCATCTCAAAGGGTTTGCTTTTTTTCTTTTTCCTGTCTCTCAGTATCTTCCTCTTTCCCTCCCGTCTTCCCTCCTTTTCTTTCCTTCTTTTTCCTTCTCTCTACGTCATTCTCTTTTTCCCTTCTGCCCTCCTTCCCTTCTCTGTAGCAGGAAGAATCACATCAGCATTTGGGTTTTAAAGGGCTTTTAGGGGCGCCTGGGTGGCTCAGTTGGTTAAGCCTCTGACTCTTAATTTTGGCTCAGGTCGTGATCTCAGATTGGTGGGATCGAGCCCCACGGCCGGCTCAGCAGAAGTCTGCTCGAGGTTTCTCTCTCCCCCTCCTCTCTCTACAATAAATAAGTAAATAAACTCTTAAAAGAAATAATGGGTTTTAAATAGGACTATTCTCTCTGAGGCCAATAAACAGAACTGAAAAGTGGAAACTGCATGAATAAATCAGATTTAGATACCCACAAAGGCTCTAATTAGGCTGAACAGGTGCTGTAGTTAATGAGAAGAGGAAAACAAACTTTGGCTCAAATGACTCACAGTGTGGAGTCTGGAATAATAAAAACACACTGTCTGGAATAATCAGGAATTATTCTGAGGATGCTGTAATATATTTATAGCAAGTACTTTTTCTGTTCACTGTTACCAGAATTCAGGCCCTGAACAGGTAACACTTGGCAGGTCTACAATATGGATTTGCTGAATAAATGTGAGAATGGTAAGCAAGTAAATGTAAATTACTTGTGTTTTTACTGGTTGTTGTCATTGCTGGTTTTAACTCTTTCAGCTGAAAATATTACTGAAATGTACATTTCTTATCTATTTAAAAAGTAAGAAAAGAAAATCTGATTTTAACCGAGAGAGCTCAGTTGGTGTACTTTCCTTCCTGATAAATTGTTCTTAATCTTCTGAGTGGATCCTTGGTAGCCAAGATTATTAGAAGAATATGGAAATTAATCAAATTAGCAAATAAAAGATCAGTTTCAAAACTGGAAAATAGATTTGACAAAGCTCAACTCCTCTTCCTAACCAAAACTTGTCAGCAAAGTAGAAATAGAAATTCCTCAATTAGTTGAAAGACTCTGATGAAAAATCTTCCAACTACAATTATAATCAACAGTAAAATACTGAATATTTTCACCTTAAGAATGGGACAAAAGACCGGGTATGTGCTCTGATCATATCTATTCAGCATGGTACAGCAGGTGTCATTAAATAAAATAGAGTGAAAAGAAGGGAAAAACAAAATCAAAAAGCAGAAAAAGGTGGGAAAGTAGAAGTGAAAAGGTATTTGCAAATGACATGATAGTGCATTTAGAAAATCCTAATCTGCACAAAAATTACTAGATATCATGAGTAAATGCAGAGAAGTATCAGAACACAAGATCAACATAAAAATAAGCAATTATTTATCTTATGCTAACAAAAAAATGCTTATCAAACAAAAATTTTAAAATACGAGTTAAATAGCATAAAAAACAAAAATCGTAAGTAACAGCTTTAACAAAAGACCAGCAAGATCTTCACACTGAAAACTGCAAAACTTAAAGAAACCTAAATGAGTGGAGAGATATTACCTGCTTTATACATTAAAGACTCCATATTGCTAAGCTGTCAGTTCCCAAGTTGAACTATAAATGGATTAAGTTTCAGGGACAATTTGGCCAGACTTCTTAATAAAAAATGACAAGCTGATTTTATAATTTATATAGAAATATAAAGACCCTATAGTAGCCTAAGCTATTTTAAAAAAGAATAACAAAGTTGGAGGACTTACATTATACAATTTAAAGATTTACTATGGAATCACTGAAATCAAGACAATGTGGTATTGGCAAAAGGATTGAGGAAGATCCATTAAAAGAATAGAGTACAAAAAAGAAAAAGAACAGAGTACACAGAAATAGACCAAATTATATGTAATCTAATAGCTTTTGACAGATGTTCTAATGAAGTTCAATGAGAAGAGAAAACCATTTTCAATAATTATTTCATTGGAGCTTTGATATCCAGTTGGATATCAATTTTGAAAAAAAAAACTTGCTACATTTCTTAAACCAGACTTAAAATATACTTGAGATGTATTGCAAATAAAGAAGTGAAAACTAAACTACAAAGCTCTTAGAAGAAGTCAGAAGATAACATCTTTAGAAATTTGGGATAGACAACTAATTATAAAAGAAAAAATATTATAAATGAGTCTTTCTTAAAATATTATAAACAAGTTTTTCTTTAAATAAACTTCTGGTCATCAACAACACCATTAAGAAAATAAAAAAGCAGATCACAGACAATATAAAAACTTTTCAATCAATACCTGGTTTATAAAGTACGTATATGTAGGATTTTTTTAAATTTACGTAATAATAAGTAACAAATTTAAAATTAGCAAAATACTTGGATAGTCACTTCACGAAAGGTTATATGAAGAGCCAATAAACACACAAAAAAGATGTTCAATATTGTTAGTCATCAGAAAAATGCCAGTTAAAACCCTCATGAGCTACTACTGCATACTCACTACATTGGTTAACATTAAAAAGACCAGCAATAAGGGCTCCTAGGGGGTTCAGTGGGTTAAGAATCCAGGTCTTGGTTTCAGCTCTTGTCATGATCTCAGAGTCCTGGGGTCGAGCCCTACACTGGACTCCCCACATGGCCTGGAGCCTGCTTGGGATTCTCTCTCCTTCTCCTTCTGTCCTCCCCCTTCCGCCCTCAAATAAATAAATCTTTAAAAACAAACAAACAAAACTGATAATAGTAAATAGTGGAGAGAAGGAGGAGCAATCAGATCCCTCATACATTGCTAAGGGGAGTTTATAATATTACAACTGTCAAAACAGGCAATTTCTTAAAACCCTATAAGACTGCAATTCCATATTCAGGTAGTTGCTCAAAATGATAGAAAATACAGGTCTATATAAAAACTTGTTTACAAACTTGTTTCTTGAAGCTTCTTCAGAATAGAGAATTACTGAAAATAGCCCAAATGTCCATCAATATTAGAAGGGACACACAATTAGATTACATTTATACAGTGCAACTCATTGACACATATGGCATAGATAAAGCTCACAAACGTTTGCTGAGTGAAAGAAGCCAAACACAAAAGAACGCTTACTTGATAATTCTTTCTCTATGAAGACCAAGAACAGGTAAAATGAGGGGCTCCTGGCTGGTTCAGTCGGTGGAGCATATGACTCTTGATGCCAGGGCTGTGAGTTCGAGCCCTGTGTTGGGTGTAAAGATGACTTAAAAACAAAATCTAAGGGGAAAAAAAGAACAGGTAAAATAAATGTGTTGGAATAGAAAAAACAATAGTGTTTGGTGGTGGCGTTGACTGGAAAGGTACAAGAGCTTCTGAGTGATGACAGTGCTCTATATCTTGACCAGGGTGATTGTCAAGACTCACCAAACTGCACACTTAAGATTTGTGCATTTTTATTGTATATAATTACAACTCGATTAAAAAAACTGGAAACTATGTTGCAAAGCAGGTGTTCTCAATGATTACGAGTTCTGGAGTAAATCAGTGCAAGTCAGTTGGTAAACAATACTGCTACATTTACCAGGACTCCTTCATACTATTCATATCTTATGTCCCAGAGGTTCCACTCAATAAATAGATACTAAGAGAATATATCTTTCACTTTGAAGGTGGGGCTGGGGGGGCATCTTTTTTACAACGTTGTTTTCAGGCTTTTTATTTGAAATAAATGAAACAAAAACAGATGTTCAATTGAAAAGGGCTGCTTAAATAAAATATAATATGTTAGATGATTGATTAAATATTGTAGAGAAAAATCATGAAAATGTTCATGAAAACTACATAATGACATGAAGACACACTTAGGATATTACATTAAGTGAGGAAAAAATTGTCGGGAGGAAGAATTGTACACACCAGTGGTCTTCACTCCAGGGTATGCAATGACTTTCCAAGAAATATGTAGGCATGTAAATAGTTTTTTTAAAAAATCAGATTATAGATCTTTGACTCCTGTATATTCTTTCCTAAAACTGATATGATCTGAGAATTTCTGACTTCAGGCAGTTTTCCCTTTTTGAACTCCACAAAGGGAAGGTCTACCTGTCCCATCTCCTGAATCCTAGGACCGCAAATCGTACAGAGGAACACTTGACAGTATCAACACTGGTATTGGCAAAAGCATTGCTGATAAAGTAGCAATCTTTTTCCAAGGGCAAGTTACGTCTGCAAATGTGTTGGTTTTTAATTCTTTGCTTTCAAAAAATTGGAAAAAAATCTACTTGAGGGAGGTCAATCATTAAAAATAATTTTTGTGGATGCATTACCATCTGATTTGTGACAGAGAGCTTCAGAAAGAATTCGAAGAACTGAATAACACTTATATAAACATGGTTTTTCAGCACTTACACCTGTTGAATAAATGGAAAACAAGTGATGCTGAATTTTGTTTCATCTGTTAATAAATAATCATCATCAGTGGGTGTATGGATTAAAAAGTGAAATTCCATTCATGTCGTTAAGAGATTCATTCCTAGGGGTGCCTGGGATCGAGCCCCACATCAGGCTCTCTGCTCAGCAGGGAGCCTGCTTCCTCCTCTCTCTCTCTTTGCCTGCCTCTCTGCCTACTTGTGATCTCTGTCTGTCAAATAAATAAATAAAATCTTAAAGGAAAGAGATTCATTCCTAATAAAATTTGGTTTAAATGCTTAATAATTATTCATTAAACCTTTAATATATTTATGATCCTTTGATTACATGCTAATGAAAGTTACAATGGCAAGTCATTAAAAATTAAAAGAAAATGCAACTTTATGATCAGAAAATAAAAACAATTCTAATTTCAATGCCTATCCACTGTTTCAGCTGCAGAGAAGCACCAACTGATCAATAAAAGACTTTTTAAGCATACAAAGACATTTGGATATACATTTAGAGAAATATATAAAGCACCTGAAGAAAAAAAGTGGAATGGGAATATGAATTCAAGGAACAAACAAAAGATATAATTTTTTAATCCATTAAACAAGAGATTTTTTCCAATGGATGATATTAAGTTTCAAATCACATTCTATTGGATATATTTTTTAAACTGTGTAATAATTTCAATTTAAACTGTCTACAATATGCCTTAAGGTGCATCCCTTGCAATCATTTAAAATTATGATGGGGCGCCTGGGTGGCTCAGTGGGTTAAGCCTCTGCTTTCGGCTCAGGTCATGATCTCGAGGTCCTGGGATCTCTGCTCAGCGGGGAGCCTGCTTCCCTCTCTCTCCCTGCCAGCCTCTCTGCCTACTTGTGATCTCTGTCTCTCTGTCAAATGAATAAAAAAAAAAAAAAAAATCTTTAAAAAATAAGTAAAATTATGATAAAAACAATTTTATGTCAACCTAAAAGTTTGTACATATTTGTGGAGTCTTGCACAATTTGGGACGATAGAGGCAAAAACAATTTTTAAGCAAATTACAGATATATTTTTAAATATATACTTTCAAAAGATCTCAAAAAAATAAACCAAAAAGTATGATCTTCAAAAAGACTGGAAGGATTATTCCAAAATGATAATGATTATGTTTGGATTCTAGGAATAAACACTTCTCCTCTTTTGCTACTTATTGGTTATACATTTTTCCTTGATGGCTTTATTATGTTGAATTACTCTTATAATAGAAATACACTGAAGACATTTATAAATAATTAGGTATAAATTTAAACCCAGTGACCTCTGCGTAAATGCCCTAGTGATATAGGAGACAAACGCAGAAGAAAAATGACTAAATTTCCTTACTACTTATAGCCCATTGTCAAGTCCTTGAAACAGGCAGAGACACATTCCTCTAAGGGACTCACCTGCCTGGGCAATAGGCAATCTTAGCCTTGACCCCCAGGATCCTGCAAGTCTACCTTAACATACAAAAATTCCTTCAGAAACTTCCTTTATCTCTACCCCCAGGATACATGTTGGCAATCATCTATCAAGTATATGACCCACCATACATCTGAAGGGTCTCATGTTGTAAGGGACAGGCGGGGCTAGGTAGGGAGAGGTAGGTAGGGGGCTACAGGGTCAGGCTCACAGAAATCCCAGAAATGCTGAGGTGTAACAAAACCAGAGATATAGGAACAAACCAGACCACCCCGCCCTGAGCCTCAGAGGTGGGGTCTTTTTGTGGCAGTCACACTGTGACCGGACCCCAAAGAAGTAAGCCCTTAAACATGCTATCACCAGCTCTCACTCAAAACGAGACATCACAACAATGATAAGGGCACAAGCTCCCGGGTCAGTTCCAAATAAAAGATTGTGGATGGAGGCCCACATTGGCAACTCAGTGAGGGACCCCTCTCACTCCTGAGAGCTTTTTCTACATCCTTGCCTAATAAAACTCTATTTTGTCCATGAGATTTCATTCTCCGACCCAGTGAGACAAGAGCCTCACTCTCCTGCTTCATTAGAAGTCTTCTGAGGGGGCAAAGTTGACATGTTTTAGTATTTCTGTTTTGTAATAACCATATCAGCAGCTCCCTATCCCCCCTCACTTTTTGTTGATTACAGGATTCTGGGCAGTGATGCCAACGACTGTGTTGGCCGGAAGACTGTTGTCTGTCAGTGAAGACGTTTCGGTGTTTGCCACACTTTCCCTTTTCATCCGACATATTCTATCCAAAACCAATGGGGCGTTTACAAAAATTTAAATTCTGTCTCATCCTTTCCTCAGCATCCTTCACAAAGCTCTGATATTCTTATCTCTTACCAAAGAAGTGTGACTCACAAGGCTAAATCACTATTTAGCAACCGGGTTAATCAGAATCTGGATCCAATCTGGTTCTCTGTTTCCTGAAGTCCTCCACCCAGAGTGAAAGAGGGAATGGGGAAGAGTGAGGACATTATTATCAACAAGTGAATGGGAGGAAATCATTACACAACAGGACAGCCTGGCCTGCAAATCTGGGATGTGAGGATTTAGCACTTCGTGTCAGAGGAAGAAGGACTCCCGAAGCTTTGACACGATCTACAAATGGGGTTGAGAGGCTAATAGCTCCGGGCGTCAAGGCCAGGGGAATTCCAACAGAAAAGATTTTCAAATCTTCTTTATCCATTCATCTGTTGAAGGGCCTGGTGGTGGGTATTATGGAGGGCACGTAACACAGGGAGCACAGGGTGTGGTGCATAAACAATGAATCTTGGAACGCTGAAAAAATAAAATAAAATAAAATAAAAGACTTTCAGGCTGTATGGGGAATAAAATGCTCACGAGGAAAAGGAAAAAGAGCAAACACTAGAGGGCATTGCATTTTCATGTTTCTTCTACTACGTTGAGGACAAAGCCCTTGAACTCTGGAAAACTGTTGCATCAAAATTTATAAAAAGTAAGATAACAAAGGAGGAGCTGTGGAAGGGATAATTCTTTTATGAAGTAAAGGAAACATAGAATAGGTCAGTGAAGGAACATTAAAGCTGGTTGTGTTAGAGTAAAATGACTCCTTTGACGCCATTTTCCTATCCCCCAGTTAGCTCCACAGGGAGTCATATTTCTGGTCTGAAGTGTTAAGTGGGCTCAGGGGATTCTATATTTTAACAGCTGTCTTTTTCCAAACACGAAAGTCTGGTAACAACTTTCTTGTTTCTGAAAACAGAGAATAAAAGATAGGGATATTGTAAAAGCAAGAAAATAAACCTTTGGCTTTGACGTGTGGACTGAAAGGACCATCATTTCATCTCTGATTCCCCGGGGGATTCACACAGGTCTGCAATTATGAGGGCTGGAGGAGCACTTGACTCTTATATCAGCATTCATAGAAACCACTTTTTCACTCCTTGCCCAGTGAGGCTACTCATTACAAAGCAACAGAAAGGGAGAATGACACGTCCTCACATATTGTTGGAAGAATGTTCATAATTTCCATAAATAAGAATGTCACTTAGTACAGCAACGCCAGCCAGTCACTTGGCCCCACATTTTCCCACAGGTGACTCTGCTTTTAAGAAGGAATATTCATGCTCAAGGCCATTGGAAGGAGACAATAAAAGGCTTCTTGAAAATTCCAAAAAATTTGAAAACATTATCCAAACATTCTTTCCCAAACCCCTAGATGCACAATCCAAGAGAATGGTCTCTTAAATCCACGAAATCTGCCACTTGCCTTTCCAACTGTGGACTTACAATACCTCCTCTTGAGGAGACTCAAATATAGATACGTCTCCTATCCAGATGCTACAGCTTTCTGAAACTCGCTATGGTATTCTCTCAGGAAAACTCCGCATCCTGTCTTCTTGGTGGTCCCATTATACCTGCATTATCTCTTGCTTCATGAGGTAGAAACAAATACAACGTTCCTCACCAACATATGATGTTTCTGTGCCTCCAAATATTTCCCAAGTCTCATTGAAATACTAGGACTCAGGCTCTGCAAATAGATCAGTAATCATTACCTACCTGATCCCTGAAGTCTCTGGGACAAAGGGGTCTGCTTCAAGCCCTGGGAGCTTCAGATGGATTCCAGCTCCTTCCGAAGCAGTTGCCAGGAGAACATGCTCTGTTCCAGCCAGCCAGGAAGATGTCGCAACCAGAAACTTCTCAACTCGAGGCAGATTAATCATGGCTTCAAATATGACAGAGGCTGCCCAGACAACCTTGTCTGGTGAGTTCTTAGCTGTGCAGAAAAAAGAAGTATGAATGGACTAAAACCTTGCTCCTGCCAAGCCGGTCCCCAGGTTCTGTGCCTCAAGGGTCAGATGGATTGGAAACTTCTCAGCAGAACACAGACTCTCCATCCAGAAAATAATTCCACCCAAGAATGGATGCCATGACCCAGTCATACAAGCATCTTCATAAAATGCCTCACCCTCCATCCCCCCGCCCCGCACCATTAGTTGCAACACCTGTGGTGCTATTCATTCCCAATTCCTGCCTTGGCTTTCCCAAATTTTCTCTACCTTCTTATGTAAACTGAGTATTAGAACAAGCAGGAAACAGAGAAAGTGTATCCAAGTCTTTCAACGGAAGCCTAGAAACACTGCGTCTCATTTAAGGTCTCCAGCCAGCTGATGGCAGAAGCAGGGGCTTTTGCTCTCTCCAACCAGTGTCTTTCCTACTGCATGAGCAGTTCCCGGGTCTGCACTGGGGGGTGGGGGGGCTGGAGGGGTGTGGGATGTAACCTGCGGGGAGTGTTAGACCTATGTGGAGTCCTGCTTTCTGTTTTCACAACTGGGAGGCTGCAGATCCAATCTGACGACACTAAACCAAGCAAACTTCTAAAATGATACAAACACTAACATTTGACATGCTTGAAAGTCATCTGAAGAACAATGAAGTCTTCCTGAATTAGCTCCTGAGTTTTCCCCATTGGTTCTGGCATCTCTGTGGCCACTCAGAGCACAGGACATGGTTGCGAAGTCACAATACGACTTGCAGGGTAGCTCAGTCAGTTAAGCAGCCCACTCTTGATTTCACCGTGGGTTGTGATCTCAGGGTCGTGAGATCGAGTCCCGAGTCAGGCTCTGTGCTCAATGGGACGTCTGCTTGAGGAGTTTCTCTCTCCCTCTGCCTCTCCCCCCAACTCTTGTGCTGTCTTTCAAACAATTAAATAAATCTTCAAAAAAAACCAAAAAAACAAAAACAAGCCCCCAAAACCCCCACACAAAAGTAAAACTTGCGGTTTCATGGGGTCAGTCAGTCAGGACTGTGTGGCATGAGGCTGATTTCAACACCAACAAGTCTCTTTGGATTGTGTCTGTGAGTAATAAGATTAGACTCGATTTGATTAAAAATTGTATCAGCATTGGTTTTGCTCCTGTCCTGTAATAGTTTTGGCAGTTAATTAAAATATTTTAGAGATTGACTTGTTTTATTAGAAAAATTTTATATCTCTATGTTTTTCATAGGCAGTTCCACTTAAAAAGTAATGTGTTTTACCAGCCTGCCATTTTGAGTCTTGAGAAGAAAAACGACACCCACCGGAAAGATGGTTCATGTGTTGACAATATAGAAACGTCTGGAATCTAGTCTATGCTAGAAAATTAAATACTCTGAGGCAAAAAGAAATGGAAAGGTGAAGTTTTCAAGTATTGCATTAAAGTATTTTAATTTTGAATTGAAGTTTTCAATGACTGCATTATTAAACTACTTTACCCAGAGTTTTCTGCAGGGCACCCTTTACCCAAAGAAAATCCAAATCGTTGTTGTTTGGAGACTTACAGTGAATGAGTTATTCACCCATACAAGGGCCCTTTGTGGTTTTGTTTATTCTTATTTAACTTTGACCTTTGTCTCTGATCCCTACTCCCACACGCCTGACCTTTCTACCATATCCTGTCACTGTAGCATATCATTGTAAAGAATACAGTATATTACCTTTCTGTATGGTATTTTGTATTAAATCTCATCCCGTTTCTTACTTTTCTCTATGCTATTCTCATGAGCAGGACTGACAGCCTAACAGACGAGAGCCAGTGCAAAGTGACAACACAGGATGCCGTGCTGAAAAGCGATGAAGAATTTCAAGATGTAGGCAGCCGAGGAGTAAACAGTGAGAGAACATTCTGAGCATGGGGCCCTAAGCTTTGCATATGTGACATAACTATCAAGTCAGCCCTGCTTGTGAGAACACAGCATGCTCCTGTCTGTACATTGGTTCGTTTTTAATTGCCATCCCACAGAATTCCGCAGTATCTGTGCGGTTTTTTTTTTAAGATTTTATGTATTTATTTGACAGAAAGATAGAGAGCACAAGTAGGCAGAGAGACAGAAATTCTTCATCGCTTTTCAGCATGGCATCCTGTGTTATCAGGCAGAGGGAGAGGGAGAAGTAGGCTTCCCACTGAGCTGGGACCCCGATGCAGGGCTCAATCCTAGCATCTCGGGATCATGACTTGAGCCCAAGGCAGGTGCTTAACCAACTGAGCCACCCAGGTGTCCCTGCGATATCTCTTTTTTAAGTATCTTGTCTCCCCTGAGTCAGACATACAATTTTATTTCTGCAAAATCCTCACTGTTAAAAACATTAGCATTTACACTCCCCATTATCAAATGTGTAAGAATTTCTTTGAGATCTATTCCTAAAAGTGAGATCTTTTGGTCACACGTCATACTGTTTGCTCAATTTTACTATATGCTGCCAGACTGTTCTAGAATAGGCTGTAGGCACCCATCCACAGTGCTGAAAGTACTCATTTATTTCTCTACCTCTTTTGCTAGTTGTGCTGATGTAAACCTCTCTGTCAATCTGTCATTTCTCTATTCCTTTCATCTATGACTTGACTCAGTGAACAGAAGTCCAACTCTGTTTACATATTTACTTTTACATGCATATTCGTGCTTTCGGGATCTTCTTTAAGCCTCTTTCCCAACCCCTAGATCACCGAGGCACAGGACAAAGATGCTTTCCCTCTGTTTGGGGGTAGGGCCCATCTTACTCTGCTGCTTCTTCTTCCGGCCTTCTGCTGGAGGAGTACGTGCTCTTTTATGAACACTTCTTTCCTCTTTCATCATGATTTCTAAAAGCTCTAGGGCATTAGAACAGAGCAAGGGAAAGAAGAGGGTAATCCCTGCCTGACTCATGCTATAGGCTCATCCTGGTAGTGTGTGTCTGTGAGTCTATCTAGCAACTGTGCTCCAGGGGCTAGGGGGTAAGGAAAGTCTTAAAGGGATTGCAACATTCACAGTGGACGGGAGCTGGGTCCCCAGTCTGAGCCCATTTTAAAATCTGGGCCTTCAGAGGGTTTTGAGCGAAATGAAAATACTCTGTATTGTACTATCCAGGTAGTATACTGGATGCAAGTCATTACACATTTGCTGAAACTAGTAGAATTCACAACAGTTTACAAGACTGAACCCTAAAATAAGCTGTGGATTTTGATGATGTTTGGAGACTTACAGTGAATGAGGTATTCACACGAAGACCATGTGTCAAAGTAGGTTCATCAGTTATAACTGGGCCGCTCTGGTCAGGGAATAATGATGATGGGGAGGCTACCTATGCACCTGTGGAGACAGGTGATAAATGGGAAATCTCGGTACCTTCCTCTCCATTTTGCTGTGAACCTAAAACTGAGCTAAAAACGTTGTCTTCAAAATAAAATAAAAATCTGTGCCTTTAAGCCGGAGCCAGGGATCTGGTATTGTTTTATCAATGATATTCTACACCTTGGTGTGTGCAGTGATGTTGTACTGACTTGTATTGTGTTGGTTTATTGTTTTTGTGTACTCTCCCCTGGGGCAGTATTGTTGTGGGTTGGTAGGGACCTAAAGTACCTGTGAGATTCAAGATTTTTATTTTAGGGGATGTCATCCTCTAAAGGTGTGCGCTGAAGCTGTTTTGTATGTGCCTTTGTGTATAGGCACCTGCTATTTTGCAGGCTGGAGTGTGCTGGAGATTATGAGTCACAGGGAAACAAGGCACATAGACAAAACAAACATCAAAACTCACTCCCTCTTTTGATGACTGCAGTAATTCATTAAGGCCTGTGGATTTTCCCAGGGAGGGGGGTGTTAAATTTGAAAAGACTAAAGAACTTACAGTATTTTGTTGAATCTAAGATGTCCTCATTCGTAAGTTGTAACTTTCATTATATCATGTACTCCTAGGAAAGAAACAAAACATCAGCCATACTCATAGGACATCAATTGTAAGAAACATTCTGAGTACCGAGATATGAAAATGTAAAAAAAAAAAGAAAAAAAAAAGGCATTTTGAAATCCATGAAATGTAGATTATAATTCAGCTACACTGAGTTAAATCACAAAGCTTAGACCATAAGATCTTTGTAAGAATTTGCTTCACAATTCAGATATATCTATGGGTTGAAACACTTGCACGTTTTGATATATCATGAAGTGAAATCAACCAGGATTCTGCAAGCCCCAAAGATCGCTTTTTAAAATTTCGTAGGAGCCTTAAAAGGCCATAGCTACTGGAAATATGATACTGAGACCAAATCTTTAACTCAAATTGTCACCTAAACCCTGTTCAGTAGATATTAAAATGTTCATTTTACAGGTGAGAAAACAATTCCTAGAAGTTGTAAATACTTAGAGAACTAGCTGGGGGGGGGAGGACAAATAAGACTCTCCAAAACATTTAATTCCTAACACCAAATGCCTGAATTGCCCTCTTATATAGATATTTGATATTTTGTTATAGGTCCCATAGTCAAAATGGTCATTTGTAGATAGTCCATATGTTTGAAATACAGAAAAAAGTATCATTCAGCCCAAATGGGGTTTCTAAGTCAATGTTTAACTACGTTTGTGTTATTATCCAATAAGCTGTATATACAGACAGCATCAAGTCTGTCCGTTTTGTAAAATGGAAGAGGCAAAAAGAGAAAAGAATTCCTCTTCCACTCAAAATATTTTATCTGTGGACTAATTGTCTCTGGTGCCTATCTTTACAAGCAACTGGAGAATTCATATTTTTAAAGGAGGCCAGCATTACCCTAATACCAAATCCAGAAAAGGACATTACTACAAAAGAAAACTATAGGCCAATATTCTAGATGGATATAGATGCAAATATTCTCAACAAAGTATTAGCAAACTGAATTCAGCAGCACATTAAAAGGAATTTATCCCTGAGACGCAGGGATGGTTCAATATACACAAATTAATCAACATGATAATACCATATTAACCTATGGTCATATCAGTATATGCAGTAAAAACATCTGACAAAATTCAACATCCATTCACAATAAAAACACTTA